TGGGTCTCATTGAAATCAATGAGATGTCTCCGATTTGTGACACAGCGGTAATACTGGTCTGAAAGCAGTCTAATGATGGTTTATGTAGCAATGCATATGCAAATTGAAGGGACGGAACACTCCATCTGAAGAGGCAGGGTGTGTATTTCTCATCCCTCAGTGTAAATATTATACCAGTCCAGATAGTGGAATATATATTTTTGGTGACTAAATGTAAATGTCACTTACAGCTTCTGTGTGGCCTCTGTAATATCTCCCACAGAGTGAGCAGTGATACTGATGTAGCTTTTAATGTTGAAGTGATATTAATTCAGCAGCCAGAAAAATACACTGCCACAGTGACAAACATTTTCATCTTACTCTCAGATTTAACAGGTTTATTTTAATCTATTCAAAATCAGGTCATCTTGCTGCAGTGACAGATAATTGCACTAGTGTTTGAACAGGACTGATATGATAATATGGTAATTTAAACAGAGAAAGTCAGTGAATTGCATTGCTTTTCAGTGTTCTTACTGATGGAGGTGCAGACTAAAAGCAAAAAGATTTATCCTAAAGTCTGATTTGTTCAATAAACAAACTCAATGATTAAAGGATTGGTTTCTTCTTTCTTTTTCAAATGTCCTTGCATCTTGTTTGATCTGTTTTTGGCCCTGCGGCTCATAATATTCTCCTCCTGATAACTTGTATTTTTCTCTACATTGCAAATTCCCAATCTACCACTAAAGGAAGGAAGAAGGAAGACGTTTTCAGGCAAACTATAAAGTTTTAACAGATTATTTCACTGTAAAATGTCCTTGCTAAAAGATATATAAAATTATATCAAGGAGACTCTTACTCCAAACTAAAACAAGTATTTCCAAACTGATCTGAACAAGCCTCCCTGACCTATAATAGTAACCTATACCAAGAAGAGTCACTATAATGTTAAGGAAACTTTGTAGAATTAAAATCACAATAAATAGATAGACACAAATCAATGAGAATTTTTTCTCAACTCAAACTGCAGTTTTCTGCTCTCAACTCTGTGTTTTTAACAAAAAGTACCCACAGTATACAACCTGCTCAGCACCAAACATTAGACAGACAGCTTGTGTGTAAATATGAAAATATGAAATTCATACAAGAGAAGAGGCCTGTTTCAGTAATATATTAATGTCATCTGATTGGTTATCTTGGCTGTGCCATTAACACAGATTTAGAGGCCTTCTTTGATCACACAGCGCAGACGGCAGCAGCAGACCATGGTGCAGTGTTTGATACAGCAGAATTAAACATGCATATGCTATATCTCATGCATACTCTTAGACAAGTGTCCACACTGACATAGACTTTTATCATGTTCATATTCTCTTTGCATATGCGCTCCCCAGTGTTCCTCAGCATGTTGTTTGTGCCATGTAGAGAAGAAGACAGAAGGACACGAATCAGTATGCTTAAACACATGCTTGTGCTGTCTGTGTGTGTGGATTCATCTGTTTTCTACTGTACTGTGTGTATGTGTGTTTGTGTCAGGAGGGAGGGGGGGCTTGAGAAGCTTATCCCCTCGACTTGGCTGCTTCAGTCATAGAAACTCTTTGCAACAATGGGATGGTTGGCATCTGAAAAGCAATGGATCTGTTGGAGAGAAACACACTGTACCAGAATACCCCCGACTACCACAGTGAGTGAAATGAAAGAGCAGCTTAAGATATTAAAGCTGAATTAATCATGTGAACGTAATCATATTAGCAATTAAATGTTGTACATAAATATTCATAAATATTATAACAATGTACACTCAGCTAGTGTTCTTATAATCATACATTAAAAAAAATGTATCTCTTTTTTTAAACCATGAAATACTTGAAGTGTAGATGAAGTTGCAGATGAGTCATAATGATTTAGAAGTGTGCCCTAGTTACCAAACAAAACTACTACTAATTGGATGAAAGCAACCATGAATGGTTTAGCAAAAACTAGCATGAACTCTGGTGAATGATACGTCTTGATCAGTATACATTTGAAAATGAGCAGTTTCACAGACTCAAAATGAAGGATGGGGGAGGTGGGCCACCTGCCACTTATTTAATATAAAGGCCATAATGTAGAGCAAATGGTCGACTCTATATCAGCATTAGACAAAGGTCCAGGGTGGTTTGAAACAGTAGAGGGCCCATTTTCAACCTTCAAAATGCAGATTTTCATAATTTTGATAATAATTTGAATTTTAACACCAGCATTGGTGTTTTTCATTACAGTACATATAATTTAGTTTACAGCACAATCATCACATTTCAGTCAAAATGTCACTTTTTACAGTACTTTAGTTTTGCAGGTATTTGATTGTAAACCAATAACCATTAGTAATATTATCCCATAATGTTCTTTGTGTTTTGTGCTAATTGGCAAATGTTAACAATTAACAGCTTAGCATTGCCATTGTGATATCAGCATTCAGGATAAAGTAGCACTGTGACTGCCATGCTGCTATATGGCTGTGGAACGTTGTTTAGTACCACATTCTTTCAGTTTTCATTTTCCACGTCATAATCCATATTATGAATTTGGATTAGCACCCAGCTATTGAAGCACTGAAGCAGCTGTATCATTCTAGGTGAGGGATCAGCTCCTCTGATTGTTTTGGCTAGCCCACAAAGTCTTTAAAGACACAGTCAAAAGATCAGCCCAAATTTGAGTCCAAAACCTAAAGTAAAGGATTTGCTTCTAAATAAAAACACACACACACACACACTTAAACAAGTTGAACGGTAAAGTGAAATTAAATCTGACAAAAGCTTCAGTGTTATTGCATCTTCAGCTGTGAAAATCTATTTGCATAATATCCAAAACCAAAGCGAGAAGAGCTCTAGCCAAGTAGAACACCCTGTACAAACCAAGAGTCACATCATTTATTTTCAATATATTTAGCTTTGATTTGCATTTATTTTAATTTAACTAAAATGTAATATGCTGAGACAAGTAAAACAATCTAGTACATCAGTGTTTGTGTTGTGCTTGATCCTGTTTCAGTGTGAGACGAAGGAAAAAGAGAAGAAAGGAGAGAAAGATGGAGACGGAAGGGAGACTTTGACTTTCAACATATCTTTACTTTAATAATGTGGCAGTGAGCTAAAATAATGCATGTCTCCATAAAGTAAGCAAACATGACACCAATGTATCATTCCCAACTGTAGCATGACAAAAAAACACAAAATGAATGATCTTGCCACAGGGATTAACATCAGTGCACCAGATGCTTCTACCGGTGCATGTTATTTACTGTTTTCTTATATCATGTAAAATTGAGCTGTAACCTTGGTGTAATGGATACTTTCGGTTGAGTTTTTCCTGCATGAAAACATAGAAGAAGAGAATGAGAGGATGAAGATGGGAGTTGAGGGAGTTCACATTTGTTTTGATACGCTGCCTTTGTAATGTATGCATGAGTGAAAATCTGCAAGAGAGAGGAGGCAACTTGCAACAAACAGTCAAGGACAAGATTTAAAGTAATGACACTGACTATTACATTACATTTGATAAATAAAAAGACATCCGCGGGGGAAATGGGTTTCTGCAGAAGCAATGTTATGCTAGATACACAAGAGCAAAGCAAACAATAAAGGTTTTTATAGAACTTTCTATGGGGGGGAAAAAGGCTGGTTTCCCAGGTGTCCTGTGTTCTACAGAAAATGTTTTTAAAATACTGTTTTTCCATCAACTAATTATCCTAATTAGAGAATGTATTAAAATTGCCATTCTCATTCTATCACCATTTTAATCATAGACATTGTGTAGACTGTAAAACTTAAACAGTAAATCAAACTGAAATCTTCCTATATAGTTTCTAATGACAAATCTTTATCACCCTTACGTAGTGAGCATAATTCAGTGCTTCTCAAACTAAGGGGCTACTACCTTTGGGGTGCACAGAACCACAACAAGGGAGGCACAGGACCAGGGGCAAAAATGAGGAGTTGAACTAACAGAACAGATCTTTTTCACAGGAGACATGTAAAGATGTCATATCCAGGTTACACTACTGAGCAAAACCGCAGTAACTACAATTTTGGTCAAAATTGAGTTATGACTGAAAATTTATTTTTATATGTCTGTTTTATCTTGTGACAAATTTTCTAAGTTCATTCTTGCTCCATCTTAGAGAAATCACAATGTAAAAATTGCAGTAACTACAAAATCCAACCTAAACCAAGTAAGAATGAAGGCTAGAAACAAGAGGAAACAGCTAACCTGGATCTGAAATCAATTTTTTTATTTTATGGGAGGTCAGTGTTGCATGAATGTGCTAGAAGAGCAACATCCATTGAACATGCTCATGTTTTTGGTGAACTGAACGTATTTGTTTGCAACTAATGAATGTGCATGTGAGCATTGTTAACTCTTACCAGAAAAGTTTCAGTTGTGTTAAAACTCAATATAAAACTACTAAAATATCACAAAGGAGTATGAATTATAAAACAAATTTTAAAAAAAAACACGATAGGCAAAGAAATGGTGCCAAGTGGATGTTATATTTTACTTTCCAGCAGCCTTATCACAACGCCATACTTCCGAAGAGAAAGGGAAATAAACAGTGAAAAGGTGGCTCAAACAGTAAAAAAAGTTATTAGAGCATTTTTGGCCAGTGCATTAAGTCTCACAGTTCAGCCATAAGATCAC